AGCCTTTATCTGAATCATACCAGCAGTATGTGACCTTGGTGTGACCTTGGTGATATCAGGCAGCTCTTTCATCAGCACCTATTTTTATGGTCAAATCTGTTTAATAGAAGCTGTATGTTGATCCTGCAATATAATTATTATACATTTACCATTTCCTCATTAGGCACTTTAATACTGGGCCTCACCCACTTCCTGCCCAGGCCAATTTTCAGCTTTCAGCACTGTCGCACTTTGAATTTAAATTATGTAGTCATGCAACACTGTACTCATATGAAATTTTGATTATTTGCTTTTCACAAAAATAGAGCTTTCAGTGGTATTTAACCATTAGCCGCCCGGCCAATGGCCGTTTGGCAGCTTCAAATGTGCCTCTGCACTCCGGGTGCATGCCATTTGGCGTGCTCCCGCACATGCGCCGTTTGCGCTAATGCAGAGCGGCGCAGCAGTGCGATCTGTCACCGGCCGTGCACCTCGGACACGGCCGATGACAGATCCGAGTACCGACTCCCGTTGCTGGTACCATGTGACCTGCTGTGACCAATCACAGAAGGTCACATGACAGTTGTATACAATGGATGGCTTCATTCATGATGCCATCCATTGTATACTAGTGCCTAGCTGTGAATGGTCACAGCTAATCACATGCACATGTCATGTGATTAGCTGTGACCAAATCACAGCTAAGCACAAAAAAAAAAAAAAAAAAGCTGAATGAATCGATTTCATTCAGGTAAATGCTTGCTTATAGCAAAGTAATTCTTTGCTATAAGCAAATTGTGTAAAAAAAAAAAAAAAAAAAAAAAAAATACTGATCACTTCCCCAAAGTAGTACAATGTTACTATGGTAACATTGTACTACTTTGGTCATAGTAAAATATGAAAAAAAAATCTTAAAAAAAAAAAAAAATGTAATAAAAAATTAAATATAATAAATAAAATAAAAAAAAAAAAAAAAAATATATATATTTTTTTCATACTGTCACCAGTCAGTGTCCCTGTTCACCGCCATGCCAGTTATATGATGACGCTGTACTGCACTGGTGACAGTATGTAAAAAAAAAATAGTGAAAATAATTTTTTTAATTTTTTCATTTTCTGAAAAATTATGCCAAAAAAATACAACTTCAAAAAACTCGCCATGCCTCTTATGAAGTACGTCGGACTGTCTACTCTGCAAAAAGGGGTCATTTGGGGGATATCTGTACTATTCTGACATTCTTGGACCTCAAGAAATTAGATTGACCGTCAGTACTTCAGGATTGATCAATATTCAGATCTATACCATAGTTTGTGAACTCTATAACTTTCCTACAAACTAAAAAATACATCCTAATTTGGGTTATTTTCACCAAAGACATGTAGTAGAATACATCTCGGCCTAAATTTATGAAGAACAATTATTTATTTGTAAACTTTTATAACAGAAACAAAGAAAAATGTGGGTTTTTTTCAAAATTTTTGGTCTTTTTTTGTTAATTTAGCAAAAAATAAAAACCCCAGCGGTGATTAAATACCACCAAAAGAAAGCTCTCGTTGTGTGAAGAAAATGATAAAATTTTAGTTTGGGTACAGTGTTGTATGACCGCGCAATTGTCATTGAAAGTGTGAGAGCGCTGAAACCTGAAAACTGGCCTGGGCAGGAAGGTGTAAAATTGCACGGTATTGAAATGGTTAATCACCACTTGATTTTTTTCGCTAAATAAATGAAAAAACACTGAAATTTTTAGTTTCTGTTATAAAATGTTGCAAATAATTAATCTTTCTTAATAAATTTAGGCCAAAATGTATTCTGCTTCATTTCTTTGGTGATCATTATTCATTATATAGTCTGTAGAAAAATTATAGAGTTCACAAACTATCGTGTATATCTGAAAATTGATCCGAAAAAGTCAGGACTGTACAAATATCCCTCAAATGACCCCTTTTTGTAAAGTAGACAGTCCAAGGTATTTAGTAAGAGGCACAGCAAGTATTTTGAAATTGTAATTTTTTGTCATATTTTTTAGAAAATGAGGAAATTAAAAAAAAAATTGTCACAATTTTTTTTCATTTTTTACATACCAGTGCAGTGCAGCGTCATCATATAACTGGTATGGGGGTGGTCAGCGACACTGACTGGTGACAGTATGTAAAAAAAAAGTTCATCTTTTAACTAATTTTTAATTATTTTTTTTTATTACATTTTATTTTACAATTTTCTTTAACACACTGTGTCCAGAGCAATACTGTGTTACTATAGTGATCAGGATTTTTTTTACACATAGTTACATAGTTAGTCTGGCTGAAAAAAGACAAAAGTCCATCCAGTTCAACCATTAAAAGACAAACAAAAAAAAAAGTTATCCTATACCCACAGTTGATCCAGAAGAAGGCAAAAAAACCCAGCAAAGCGTGATCTAATTTGCTCCTGCAGGGGAAAAAAATTCCTTCCTGATCCCCAGAGAGGCAATCGGATATTCCCTGGATCAACTTTACCTATAAATGTTAGTATCCAGTTATATTCTGTGTATCCAAGAAAGAATCCAGGCCTTTTTTAAAGCAATCTACTGAGCTGGCCAGAACCAACTCTTGAGGGAGTCTTCCACATTTTCTTACTCTTACTGTGAAGAAACCTTTCCATGTTTGGAGATTAAATTTATTTTCCTCCAGACGTAAAGAGTGCCCCCTTGTCCTCTGTGATGACCTCAGGGTGAAGTGCTCTACACCGAGTTCACTATATGAACCATTGATGTATTTTATACATGTTGATCGTATCCCCCCTTAATCTCCTCTTCTCAAGAGAAAATAAATTCAGTTCCTCTAATCTTTCCTCATAGCTGAGCTCCTCCATGCCTCTTATCAGTTTGGTCGCCCTTCTCTGCACTTTCTCCAGTTCCCCAATGTTCTTTTTGTGAATTGGTGCCCAAAATTGAACTGCATATTCCAGATGAGGTCTTACTAATGATTTGTACAGGGGTAATATGATATCTCTCTCTACACTTTATGATTCCTTACACTGGTATAAGCAACCATTTTTACAGAATGAAATAGATTCATTCAATGTGTATTGTTGTGATTAGATGTGATTGGACTCAGCTAATCACATTGTATAGATAGGCTGTGATTGGTCCTGTCTGTATCATGTGATCACTATGACCAGTTACAGCTAGCAACACAATTGTGCACAATGAATGGTATGATTTAAAGCCATTCCTTGTTTACAACTTGTCATGTGGTCTGCTGTGATTGGTCACAGCAATCACATGGTACCAGCAGTGGCCTGGTACAGTGATCTGTCTGGTGGACACAGCCGATGGCAGATCATGCCGCAGCATGACTGCACGGTTGCCTGCGAGTCACATTTCGTAAGTACTTTATATGACGAGAGTGGTTAAGTGATGCATGGATCTCACCACTAGAACTAGAGCTGATCAAGTGGCTTTTATCCAACAGGGTGGATGAACAGAAGTTGATCTTTAGATTGACTTCTGTTCAACTGCAGTGGCCCATGCTGAACTGGGCAAATTTCAACCTATGGCCTCTATGACCTCTATGTATGGCCTCCTTTATACTGATTCTCTGGTCTCAGTCTTTAATGAGGCACTGTAATAAGCATGCGTATCACTAAAATCAGAGAAATTTAAGTCATCATCTGCATTAGGAATGAGGTTTTTGGTTCACTGCTACAGTGGATTTGGGTTGAATCCTGCAGGTGTGATCACCATGGGCCCCGGGAATTTTTGTACAGATTTCCCAGAGATTTCTTTTTTAAACTATAATGCACAACATAGCCTTTGAAATAAGACCAGAAGGTTTAGAAAAGCAAAAAAGGGGGCTTTTGGAAAAGCCCCCTCACTATAAATGGGTTGAAGCTGCTGTGAGGAAAGGATAGAGAAAGCTGACAAACTGCAAAGAGAAATTAGGGTCAGTTAGGATAATGTACTGTACTTCTGATTGCTAGCTCTTTGGGCTGTCAATCCCTTTGCTATTTTTTCTGTTTACTGAAGTCTTCATAGCAAACTTTTTTTTTGCTGCCAGACTTCCCTATTTAAAGAATACGGGCTTTTGTTTTTAGGGGTGTTTTAATTCATTTTGGCGATATATTGGCTTTATTTTCAGATAAGGCTTATATTTTAGGTCAGATCAGTTTTTTGATTTTTGGGTTTTTCATTTGGGTCTTCCTTTAAAAAAACTCCAACTTTCTGCTTTCATTGGTGTCACAGCCATTAACAGAGAGGGTGCTGTCTTAAAGGCCTAGCATGCAGTTGTAATGCATCCACACACTAGCAGCCAACCAACCCCCCCCCCCCCCCCAGTGCCTTTACCAGTTTCCTATGTGATTCCTAACACCCAGGGGCGGACTGACCATTTGGAAACTCGGGCACTGGCCGAGGGCCCAGGGTCAGTAGGGGGCCCCATGAGATGCCCCTGGTACCTTTTTCATAGGCTTTTTTGAGTTTGGGCAAGGACACAGGGGCCCCATGATCCCCTATTGCCCAGGGGCCCCACGAGTTGTCAGTCCGCCCCTGCTAACACCTCCAGCACTCCTGAGACCCCAGTTTCCTCCAGCTGTATCCAGTTTCTATGCGTCCTCTGTGCACACCAGACTGTTTTCAGTACACCTCCTGTGTTCCCGTATGACAGTGTCTTCTAGTCTATACCATGTGCTCCTGTGACTCCGGTCCATGACAGAGCTGACAGTTGCAACAAGAAATTAAAGCACAGACAAGCTAGGCCTGTTATCATGGATTAAACCTGTCCTGCTGTTGGCTAGTTTTACACTTCTGTGTTCACTGTAGTGTCCTTTGTCTTGTAGTAAAGCCATAGCCTGTGATCTTAACCACTAGCCTACAGGGCACTTCTACCCCCTTCCTGCCCAGGCCAATTTCCAGCTTTCAGCGCTGGCACATTTTGAATAACAATTGTGCGGTCATGCAACACTGTACCCATATGAAATTTTTATCATTTTTTTGTGACAGATAGAGCTTTATTTTGGTGGTATTTAATCACCTCTGGGTTTTTTCTTTTTTCTTAAACAAACCAAAAACCACTGAAAATTTTGAAAAAAAAAAAAAAGTTTTTTTCTTAGTTTTTTGTTATAAAATTTTGTAAATAAGTGATTTTTCTCCTTCAGTGATGTGCGCTAATGAGGCTGTAGTGATGGACACTGATAGGCTGCACTGATGGACACTGATAGTTGGCACTGATGGGCACTGATGAGGAGGCACTGGTAGGTGGCACTGATGGGCATTGACAGGCATCACTGATGGGCACTAAAAGGCAGCACTCATATATGGCACTGATAGGAGGCACTGATAGGTGGCACTGATAGGCAGCACTGACTGGCACTGATAGGTGGCACTGACTGGCACTGTTAGGTGGCACTGACTGGCACTGTTAGGTAGCACTGATGCACACTGATAGGCGGCACTGACTGGCACTGATTGGCAGCACTGACTGGCACTAATAGTTGGCACTGACTGGCACTGATAGGCGGCACTGACAGGCACTGATAGGTGACACTGAAAGGCAGCTCAGATGGGCACTGATATGTGGCATTGATGTGCACTGGTAGGCACTGAAATGTGGCACTGATGGGCACTGGCAGGTGGCATGGATGAGCACTGACACATGGCACTGATGGGCACTGGCACGAGGCACTGATGAGCACTGACACATGGACACTGACAGGTGGCACTGCTGGGGCTACACTGATCATCAGGGCACACTGATCATCAGAGCTCTGATGATCAGTGTAGATGTCCCCTCCGAGGAACGCTAATCACCGGCTCTCCTCTCCTCTGTCAGCGTGACAACTTGTTAGGAGAAAAATGCGATAACCGGCATTTCCCTATTTACATGTGATCACTGGGATTGGACACAGCTGATCACATGACCGAGCTGACATCTTCGGCTCTTTCCGTGGATCAGTGATCCGCTGTGTCCGAGGGACACAGCGCACCGCCGATCACCGCGCTGCGAGCTCCCAGAGCCGCGCATGCGCGGTGAGAATGGGAGGACGTCATATGACGTCCTGCCAGAATGAGAGAACCGCCTTGCGCCAGTCATTGTACTATATGGCGGGCTGGAGGTGGTTAGAGTAAGTAAATGTGGGCCTAGCATTGCCAAACATTGTTCTACTGCTGGCCAATTTTACATTACTGTGTGGTCAATTCTCTAAAGGATAACTACTGCAATGGTTTTTGCCTACTCGCAGACCACCATGATACACTTACTGAGGCAGAGTGCCATGGCTGGGGCTAATCCCATACATGTATGTGATCCAGCTCTTCTAAGTGTAGGGTGCGCATTTGCACATCTCCCCCCCACCCTATCTGTGCTCTGATTTGCTTCAGCACAAATTTGGCAGCTGGTCTCAGCCAATGATTTATGGCTGGAACCTGCTGATTGGCTGTAGCCCTGTATGTACAAACAATGTACTGCAAATCAGGGAGAAAAACATCCACATCTATTAACCCCTTCACACCGACGTCACACAAATATGCAGCCTCACAGAACTGGGCTTTTTTTCCGTGGGGCCACATATTTGCATACCTGTCTTTGTGCTGGGAGCGCGCCGCACAGCGGGCTCCCAGCACAAAGACTGAAGTATCACTGAGAGCCCCGGGTCCCGTTCTAACGATCTGGATCTGGGACTCCCAATTCCGGGTCACATGATCGCTGTGATAGCCTCTGATTGGCTATCACAGTGTTCAGTTACTGTATTGCCTGCCCCCATTGTTTTCCTTTTCTCTGTGAATGAAGGAGAGGGATACATTGTATTACTCTAACTCCTGGCATAGAGAAAAAAAAATGTTAAAAATAAATAAATATTAAAAAATAAAAGAAAAAATAAAGAAAAAAATACCTAGATCAAGGTTTGATCTAGTTCAGTGCCAGTGTAAGTGTTTGGGTCAAGGTCAGGGTTAAAGGTCAAGGTCAAAAGGTCAGGGTCATGCTCACACACTTGCCTGCATTCTTTGTCTCTAGTACATTTTGACTTATTGCCCCTGATTAAAAATGTCCTGCTACTGGCTGTACTCTCCAACAGAAATTTACCAGCAGCAGGACTGTTTTGCATCAGGGAAAACAGGGACAGCCACAGAAAACTACTAGCAAATTCCATCTGAAGGTTTAAAGTGGGCCTAATTCTGTTAGAAAAGCTAATAATAAAAGAAAATTAACTCCATGGCCAAATATGCAGATACTGTATGTTGCTGCTGGAACTGCCCATGAAAATTGAACTGTTAAACAATTTTTGTTATTTCAATGTTGCCCCCCAAATAACTTGAAAACACCCACTCTCCGAAATATGGAAGTGTTGCCAATCAACCAGATTGAAATCCACTGACATGACATCCAAATTTTACTGCCAAAGCCAAGTCTGTACTGGCATTTTTGCACAGCACTGTACGCACTTTCATTATGAGGGCACTGGTGCTCTGCTCTATATGGCCATAAGACACATAGAGCTGTGGCTCAGTCCTGCCCCCTGCTCTCTCCTCCTTGACTCACTGGCCGTGATTGACAGCAGTGGAAGCCAATGGGAGAGGGTATCCTGAGTCAGCCAAAGCTCTTGTGCACATCGCTGGATTGAGAGAGGGGCTAGGTAAGTATTGGGGGGCTGCGGATGCAGCAGGACACAGAGAATTTTTTACCTTCATAACAACATAAAGAAAAGTGCACAACCACCCTAGCGTAATCCAATTTTGAATAAATAAATTGGATTACACTAGGGCAGTTGTGCGCTCTCTTTTCTTTATGTTGTTACAGATCCCTTTCCATTTCCCAATGGATGTATTGGAGAGCAGCAGTGCCATCTACCAAGCCATCTTATCATTTAGCCACTGATCTATTGTATACTATGAAGTTTTTTGAGACCAGCGCATATGCTAGTATTCTCATGAGGACTTTTGCGCATGTGGACTTTTTTTTTTTACCTTCATGCATAGAATGCATGAAGGTAAAAAACCCTTTGCCTTTGGAACCACTTTAAGGTAGATGTTAAGGCAAAAAACATATTTCTTATTTTATTTTTGATATAGTAAATAAGTAGCTCAGGGACAGGACTCCAGAGGGCAAGACATTAGAATGGGCAGGCACATACATATGAAATTGACTCTCACAGTGACACTGACAGCAGTGTTCAGCAGCACAGATGATGATGACACATCACTGACATGACACATCCCTTCCTGAGTCACAGTGCCAGCCTCTCTTCATGCCAGGTGGTCTTTTCAGTCCATTCCAGTCCAAACAGCACTGACAGTCCCGCTCCTGACAGCACTGACAGTCCTGTGTCCCAGACCCATGCACAAGGTTCCAGTCACTGTGCTTGGCTCCTTTGCACAATAACATTACACACACCGCTCAGGCATTGCCTTCCGCAAGACCTGCCCCCCATCGCCACCACCCGTACACACTGGAGCAGGTACTCAGATGGTCTTGGCCAGCTCTAGACCTGAACTGCGCATGCACAGTTCCAAGTGGAGCTTCACTGTCATATTTTTAACTGGCAACCTTTTCCTTTCACTGGCATTTACTGGAATTTTTAGCAATGTGTCTATTAGTCTTCAGGTTAAGTTCACACTAATGCGGTGTGGTACATCACATGTGATTCGCACAGGAACCGCACCGCATTCCTGTGCAAATCACATGCGATTTGTGTGCGGTGCGATTGGAGCCATACATTATGTATGGCTCCAATCGCGCACCGCACCCGCACCAAAAAGGTATAGGACCCTTTTTTGGGTACGCACTATAATCGGATTGCATGGGTATTCACACCTATGGGATCCAATTCTGCACATCGCACCATGTTTTGCAGACCGAATTCGGGGTGTTGTTAACATACACACCCGCATCGGTTCACAAATTCCACACCGCATCAGTGTGAACCCAGCCTAAAAATAGCCAAAGTTTACCAACCTGATTTCTCCCCTATAGACATAAAAATGATTTGTCTCTAAGTTTGGGTTCACCATAGCAAACCCTTAGTGAATCAAAGCCGGACAGATTAGTCCATCACTAATCTGCACACAATTCATTGACTCAGAGAATTAAAGAGAGTCACTATAACTTACAGGCAAATAAAATTTCTAAATCAGATAACAGCATGGCAGCCTTCATATTTTTATTATGACAGATTTACTGTAAAGGGAATCTATCATTCCTGAGTGAAATGCTTTGGATGAATAGTCTTTTGGAGTACATACTACCCAGGGGCGGACTGACCATTTGGAGACTCGGGAACTGCCCGAGGGCCCGGGGTCAGTAGGGGGCCCCCTGAGATGCCTCTGGTACCTTTTTTCATAGGCTTTTTTGACTTTGGGCAAGGACACAGGGGCCCCATGATCCCCTATTGCTCAGGGGCCCAATGAGTTGTCAGTCCGCCCCTGATACTACCTGACAGTAAGGCCCCTTTCAGATGGGACAGACAAGTCAGCAGATCTGCCTGCTCAGTGGGAGATCTCTTTGCTGATCCCCGCTGAGCAGGCAGATGACAGGTCTGTGTCCACTCCACTGCTGAAGAGCAGACACAGTCACAGCCCACAGACTTCTATGTGGCGATCAGATGGACCACTTGTCTGTTTCCACCTGATCTGCTGGACAGATGGGGATCCCCATCCATCTATTTTGGCTTACAGGATCAGATCGAATGTCAGCGGGTGTCAGCGGTCCATAGAGGTCTATGGAAGGTCCGATCGAGTCTGCCTGAAAAACTGACAGGCGGATCCGATCAGACCATCAGTGTGAAAGGGGCCAAAGGCCTCTTTCACATGGATGTCATCCTTTCAGTCACGTTTAAAAGAAAAAAAAAACTGATTAAGTTTACATTAGTTTGCACAACTGTCTTCAGTTCAGTTCAGTTTGCACTTAATGTCAGTTCAGTTTATATTAGTTCAATTCAGTTCAATTAAGGCTCCTTTTACATGGGGCGAACCTGTCAGCAGATCTGCTTGATCATCGGGGGATCTCTGATCCCCACTGAGCTAGCAGATGACAGGTCCGTGTCCACTCTGCTGCTTGCAGAGCGGGCACATACACAGCCCGCTGTCCTCTATGGGCGGCCAGATGGAAACAGACCCCCTGTCTGTTTCCAATCAACTACCATCCCATCTAATCCAATGGACGGAAGGGGAATGTATTCCCATCAGTCTCTTTTTGGCGGATCGGATTAGATTGGATGTCAGCAGGGGTAAACCGACACATATCCGTTTACACCCACTGCTCCATAGTGGAGAATAGAGGTTCCAATTGGGTCCGCGTGAAAAAACGCGCCGGCAGACCCGATTGGAGCATCCATGTGAAAGGGGCTTTACATCAGTTTATATCAGTTCAATTCTATTCAGTTTACAGCAGTTTACTGCAGTCTATATCCATTCCGTTTCAACGGATCTGGACGTTGGCTATTCCATTTAAAAAAATGGACCTCATATGACATGAATGTAAACTGATAATCGTCCGTTTACATACGCCCACCCAGAGACATACATTGTGGTTCAGATGGAACGCCCATATGAATGGGGCCAAAATGGCTTCAGTTGCAGATAAAATAAATAGATTAAGCTTCCCATAATCTAATCTACTGGGGATTTACCCTATTTTCACACATATATATACTGCATCAGGACAGGTTCTCTTAAAGAGTAGCCAGGTATAGACATTTTTTTGTTTTGCAGTGAGGCAACATTTTAAACCCAAGTCAGGTAATGCTTTTGCTGTCTATGTCTTGCTGGGAAAATATTCCTTGTTTTAGATATGCAACAGATATGTGCAAAGAAATATCATCAAGATAAGGGGAAATCCTATCTGAAAAAGCAGTCACCAGCACACTTATCTCAATAGTATTGTTTTCACTAACCTCTAGTTCTCATGACAATGCTAAAATGTAGGATTTCTCCTCACTTTGACTCTCAGCGACAATGATCACTAGAACAAATCAAGGGGTAAATCTCCCTATCAGCCACAACCAAAACTTGGCAAAATGTCTAACTCACTCTATTCAAAACTAAAAAAAAAATGCTTTTGCATATACAAATACCTTTAAGTAAACATGAACTCAAAGTGAAGATTTGCTATTTAGAAATGTAGATTGTGCATAAGCAGTACCCTGGGTTTTATCTTTTTTCTTGAATTCCTCCTGAAATATATCAATGTGCAGGAGATTGTTTGCTGTCTCTACATATGTGGAAAGGCAAACAGACCAGTCTATTGTACATTTAGGTGGAAGATTACACCAATACATACTGTGAGCTGGGGATAGGTAGCAGGTACAGAGCTCCCTGGGGTGATCACACTTTCAGGCACAGGTACCAGTCCAGTGACAAACAATGCAGTTTTTTATTGGTGCTATTTACAAGTCTATTTACAGGTGCTGTACAGTGTTTTACATAAGCGAGGCAAAAAAACTCCAAAACAAAATCCTAGCTGTGTCCTGGCACAAACTATACACGTCTATGTCCTAACTAGCAGGCTGAGCAAGCCTAATGCTTCTCAGTCTTAACATACAGTTTTACAGCTTCCACCAACATTGCAGATCTCACAGGCATGACTTGTTTGTTCCCTAGGCTCAAGAGCACTGACTCTGAGTTCCAGGTCAACCTAAAAAGTTGCCAAAAGGGAGAGGCCCAAAACCTAAACTGGACAGAGAATCAGAGGTCTCTAAATGTGTACGAGAAGATGGATTGATTATTTTTTTCAAGTGACCCTATTCTGTGTGGAATTAATATAGCAAGGCAAACAGCAGGAAAGATACAAGGGGAGGTGATGGTTTTGTTACATTTGTTCTTATGGGTTATTTTGTGATTTATGTTCATTAATAAATGCTGCAATGTTACCAGCTGCATTGTGGCACTTTGGTCAACATACTCATCTAATTATGTATTTATGGTGGTTTAAGTCCCATCCAGGTTTGTATTTATATTTTTGTCTTACAGATATATCAGGGGTGACTTTCCTATCTTTATTAAATTTCTAATGCATGTTTTTGGAAACCTTGACGTTATTGATTTTTATCTTTTTTTATGTTTCTCTAACTCTCCTGCTGCTTCTTCCCCACCAGTTATCAGATCACCAGTCATCAGATAGGCAGTTATGAGGCAGCAAAGCCTTTTTGTCAACCAAGATGGTTGTCTTTGCACAGAGACACAGTACGGAGTAAGGCATGGCTAAGTCAGCTCCAAGGTGCCTAGATGAATTACTGGGGACTAGTCTTTTGCTATTTGCTTTCCACTTTTGGAACCAGCTTTCACTTTAAGGTCCCAGGTCTACATTCAAGCAGAGAGAGCAGGTTGAGGCACTTAACCAGTACATTGTGGTCAGGTAATTTTCTTTTCCATCAACTGGAGAAAAATCAACACTAAAGATTTGATTTATGCCCCTAGGCTTTGTGTTATTCTCCAAGTCATTACACATCCTTGATTAATCTATTGTCACTATATAAATCAATAATAATTAGAATCTAGTAAACATTAATATACATATTATAGACTTTCGACATGGAAATTGCTTTCTCTAAACATGGAAATGTGACATTTAGCAAATATATTTTTAAATATATGTATAACCAATAAATCAAATCAATTAGATAACTATTGAGTGTTTTTGTAAAATATTTTCTTTCTCTGTAATATTGCAGAGATTTTTTAGAAGAGAACACCTGTATTCTAACTCTAGTTCATTTCAGAGACTTGTATAATTAGCTGTTGGGTGCTTCAACAATTTTATGCAAATTAATATGCAAATAGACTTCTTCGGTGATCACAGCTATCATCATGAGCCACAGACAACAAAATTAGATTATAATCTCTTTAGCGCCTAGGAACTTTTGTCTATCTGATTATTAAAACATTAAGATACAAGTGTCTTTATAGGCAAAACAAACAACAGTTTAGTACTCTCAGACTCATTCACACAAAGGGGTAAACGAATCTTGTCTTTTGGTCAAAGTTTATTAAGAGCTTCTCAATATTTGAGGAACAAATAAAAGAAGAAAAAAAATATGGAACATTGTTTTCATGTAGAACTTTTATGTACTGATCAATGGGCTATGGATTCCAAACAGTGGCAGAATAAAACGTTATTGTGACTTGCAAACAAGCATTTTTTTTGTCTTTGGTAATCATAGTCCATATGGTTCCTCATATGTGCGTATTGTAACCAAGACCATTGTAGCCCACTGTTTTACAGTATTTCTAATGTTTATTTTTTCATTTTCTTTGCAGTGACATAGCTCAGGTTAACCACAGCATGTAAGTAGTAAGATATTTTCTCCCACTCTTGGAACTCTAAAGCCAAAAAAAGAAAATATAGTACAAAAATATGATCTGTCTACTGATCTGTCATTCCCAGAAAGTCAATCGAGCATTAGGATAGGTATGTCAGATTCTCTTCAGGGGAGAAAGAAATTAGAAATGTAAAGTTGAGTACGCCCTTGTTTTTTTTTTGTTCAACTCAGTGGGCTGAAAGAAAAAAAAAACTGAGAGATCGGCGTACTAACACAAGTGATGTTAGTGGGACGATCCCCCCCCCCCACTGTGCCTTTGTGTTCTAACAGGGAGTCTGCCCCCTCCCACCAGGATACACTGATCAGTCCTGGAAGAAAAAGACGCATCCAAAACGTTCTTCCCTTCACGCCTGAAGAATATATAAACTGCTCACCTTGTATATAGACCCCATAATTATATTTTGATAAATGTAAGATGTTCAATGGAGTCTGTGGACAGACACACTCACAAACTCACAAAACCTCCAACAGCACTGAATGTCCATTCGGAAAGCACACTGGATGCAGGACAGGCCAGAAGCTTGATTGCATATTGAGCAAGTTCTGGCTAGTGATGCATCCTCAAGACCCAGTAACCCAGCATATCCTCAGTTGGAAAGATCTCCAAGTCTGCTCTTGCCCCTAGATAATCCTGCACCATATGAGTGCTTAAACCTAACAGCCCTGGGAGCTGAGGACAAAAGAATTGTTTACAGGCATCAGTCAGCTGTCCGCGCCTTCTCCCCTACTCTTTCTTTGATCGAAGGAAGCCTCAGAAACATGTTGTCCAGGAAATGGTAACCTCTCAGTGTCTGGAAAAGTGTTACACAAATTTTTCTTCAAGGCATCCTCAAGCTGTTTTATCCTCTGCTCCCTCCTCTGCGAAGGTAGGATGAGTTCTACAACTTTACCCTTGTAACGTAGATCAAGAAGGGTTGCCAACCAGTAATGATCCCTCTCCTTGATACCACAAATCCTCAGGTTTTTTTGTGGGCTTTGCAGAATCAGGGAGCCCATGCA